AGTTTTTATTAAAAAAATTAAACTTTTTAATAAAAACACAGGCAAATTTGCCTGTGTTACAATTTAAGGGATAATAAAATACCGCTATCATACCTGAAGCTAACATCTACTTAAAGTTACGACGAAATCAAAATCAATAATCGATTACCAAATACAAGTTCAAAAATACTAACAACAAACAAAACATCGTTAACATAACAACCAAAATAAACTATAAAGCATGTAAATTTTAAATAATTAATAGATTACAAAATTGAATACACAATAATTTAATAAAATCAATTAATCACAGAAAACACAGGGTGGCAATATGATGGCGACCTGTCTGGATTACATTTTTATTGATGAGAATCAATCACATCTTGTTTTCAAAGTCACTATGCACTTTGGTAACTCTGACCAAATAATACACAATAAAAACTAATCAAATTAAAAAAAAAAAATAACCATTAAACTAAAATAATGAAACACGACTTAAGAAAAAAAAAAAAAGGACATCTTAAATCGATCATCACAACAATAAATATAATTACTGCCCGGACTACAACTCGTGCAAGAGATCGTACTGGTTCTGCGCCGCGTCACGCGCTGCGCAGCTACCCTAATATCATAGTTTAGCTTTATAATTCCTATAGCACGGACGTAAGGACGTGCCATTGAGACTAGTACGATGTATATGTTTTGCGTCATTTATTGATTCCGTCAATTCGGAATCGACATGTGTCATTTTTGAATTCCACCGATCAATGAATGACTTACGTCACTTACTGATGCTATAAATTATGTTTGTGACAATGAATAAAACAGCTTTAATTCGTTAAATAACTTGAGAATTTTTTTTTCCTTATATAATAATTGATAAATGCTGTAGTTGCCTTGTAAAAATATCGCTTTCGTTAGGCAAGCAAGGGTAAAAAAGCTATATACTCAACTCAATCTTAATGTTGTTAGTCGAAATACCCTATTAAGTCGAATATTTAGACAATTTTATGTCGGAATTAGTGATGCTTGACGAAACCATGTGATGCTAATTGTCACATGGTACAATATATAAAAATCAACATCTATTTTGATTTTTTATAAGTAATAGCACGTGATAATTAGCATCACATGGTTTCGTCAGGCATCACTAGTCGGAATATATTTCGACATGACATTAATTTTTGTCGAAATGTCAAAATTTTAATTTGACTAAATGTCTAAAATAGTTGACTAAATAAATACTATATGACTAAATGTCTAAATTAGTAGTAGAAAGAGCTTGTACATTAAAAGTATCTGATTATTAAATTGATAGTAATCCAGATTCAAGTTATAAACATTTAGCATAGTGAGTACTGTGTGAAAAAAAGCACGCATAACATGTGGGAAAATTTTCAAGCTGTTAAGTGTATATGATTAAACCCTCTTGATAGAGGCACGCAACCGTTTTTAGATCAAATTTATTTTAAGTAGCATGTAATCCACAAAATAAGCAAGTTCGGATATTTGCTATAAGTTTATATATATATTTTTTAATTTAGACATTTCGACATTAATTAGACACTTTGACATTATTTAGACATCTCGGCATAATTTAGAATTTCGGCATTATCATAGTATTTCGACAGCTAAATATCAAATGTCAAAATATTTCTATAAGCTCAAGACAATTTCGGCTAACAACATTAGGCATAAACAACGAATTTTAATACAAAACATTTTAATATTATAAAAATATAAATATTGATTATTTTAGAGCAAAAAAAATTACAAATATAAGGATTTAAAATATAAATATGCATATTATTTCTAATTTATATTATAATAAATCTTACAGTCATATCTATACTGTATATGTATTATGTATAAAAACCTCTTAATCTACTATAATCAAAAAGGCTAAATAGAAATTTTTTAAAAAATATGATTTGTAAAAATGAAAGTAATGCAATTCGCTTCTTTTTATATTAACTAGCTTGCATTAGCTGTTAAAATAAAAAAAGTATTTTTTGATAAGAAAATATGTATAAATTGTAAAGTATAAGAGTACATTTATTCCTCATCCAGGGTGATGCTTGATATTCATCACCCACATTATGATATTATAAAATTTTACTAGGTAACCCTGTTGTGTAACTAACGAAAAATGTTCCTCTCGCGATTTTGCCCTAGCCTAACCCAAAAACTAACCCTAACTCTAACCCTAATCCTAAAACATTAATATGGCCGAGTTTCATTTTGTACTTAAGGGGTTGAATAATTCACCCGGGTGTTAAATAAATTATTTCTTTATATAATAATAGAATAAGTTAATAATAAATTCAATATGAAATTTTGTGCATGTAATTTATTATACATACTAATTGCCAAATAATACTCTAATATTTAGAATAACACAGTATAATTTTATACAAATTTAATAACTATATAAGCTACTTAATAAAGATTTATAGATACTTTACCGAAGTCTAAAAGCAAAGTTTTGAAATATATGAAATTTATCTCTTTATTTTTCTCGTAATAATTATCTATATGTTTTTTTTGTAATTTATAAGAAATTTTTGATTCATATTATCATATTTAGTTTCTAAAAATATTATATTATAAATTTTAAAGCATTGTTATATTTTTTTATTTTTTGTTAATATAATCTGTAACATATAAAGCAATTGTTGCAAAGTTGGTTAATGGGAATCGCTGAAACTGGAAGAAATAATAATTCAGTGGCTAGTTGTCATTATACTCTTCCAGTGAGGTTCGGCGAGGTTACAAGAAGCTCTGTAACAGAATACCTAACAGTAATTAACGACAGAAATTATAACAATTTCAATACAAATCAACACAACCTTAGTTATTGTGCGCATCGTATTAGCAAGTTTTGCAACAGATTTTTACAGCAAATCATTATAGAAATCATAATATTTCTAGTGCAAACCAACTTGTACCGCAATAGCTGGTAAATTCTGTAATAGAATTTTTTACAATAACTCTATAATGAGATTTAAAAAATAAATACTAAACAAGGTGGGTGATAATAAGCGCCACCAATCGCGCTGGTAATATTGAAAACAACAAAATTAGCGGATATCAGATCTTTACCTATATAAAAAACATTTATTTATATAAGTATTTAAAATAGGAAGCTACTATATGGTACACCCCCTGTATCTCAAAATTTTATTAAGATAACCCTGTTGTGTAACTAATAAAGATGTTTGTTACACAATTTTAAGACTAACCAAACTCTAACTTTAATAATAGTTTATTTGAATTATTTGATGGTATTGCAAAATTTTACAGGGTAGCACCTGTTGTGTGACCAATAAAAATATTCCTTGTACTGTACAATTTTACTAATAAGGGGCTAATAAGGCAACCATAATTTTACCCTAATTCTAACTCTAATTCTAATATTATACTTATTTAATTTATACAAAAGAAAGTGCACCAAATGCATAGGTGCACCATTTAACATTTTCCTTTATTTAAATATCGAATTAATGAAATGAAAGTATCAAGGAAATGAGTTATCAAGAAAATTAAGTTGCAGAATGATTGGGACTATTGACTATTTATGTATTTTTATAGGTCAATAATATATTATTCCAGTGGAAAAATTAGCCTAGTGGGATTTCTCACTGGAATTACTGGAACACTAGAAAAACCAGGACGTCCAGTGTGGTTCCAGCTTCCAGTCAACAACACTGCCTAAAGTATATATCTCATTTTTTTTGGTGCTCTTCCCATATTAATTATAAAGTGCAATATAATGCATGACAATACTATTGTCAGACCCGAAATCGGCGAGTCTGTCGCTAGGTCGTTAGTAGATTTGTGTAACCAAAGATTAGGTTTCGTAGGGTCGAAAGAGGCGTGTTAGACTTGGTCGAGTGGTTATGTATAGTTTCGGGATAGAACTAGTATTTATATAGTTTAGGCAACGTTCGTAGCGAGAGTATTTATTGAATGTTAAGTTGCATGATTTATTAGAAGTAAATAAATGACAAATGAAAAGTGATGGTGGTATGATTTATCATAAGTAATTGTAAGATATATGAAAGTAGTAGTATGATTAAAAGATTTAGCAAAAGCAAAGGCGGGAGTTGTTTTTCCCAAGGGCCGAAAAGGCCTTTATTTATAATTGTTAAATTGCTTTATTTACATTCCCAAAAATCTTCCATATCCCAAATATCATCAATAAATATTATCAACCTTATACTGTAGCCCATATCATTAAGATCCGCCATTTCACCCAAATAATCCTAATTCTCCAGATCTAGCGGTTCTGGGATATCTGGCAGATCTGGACGGGAAACCTAAATTAGGATTTACCGAGTCACGTGGTCACGTGCCTGCCGTCAGGTCACGTTTCCGGTTTCACACCATATATTTCATACTGTATGTACAATTATTATTTGCAAGTAAGTTGTTCGAAAAGATCACATGCTTATTTGTAGTTTCCTTCATTATGCAATTGTTTCGCAATATTAATTTATTCCAACTTTTAGCTATAGGTTTTTTATTCATATTTAATATAGTTGACCTTTATTGTAACTTTTCTACCATATTTATAATTTTCTAAAAACATAGAAAATTAAATATTTAGACAATTTAAAAGTATTGGACGATACAGCAAATAGACTTGAACTGCCAATTATATGGAAGCCATCCTATGGCGCGAATTTGACTAAACCGAAATTTGAGGTTCATGAGCTGCCGATGAAATAAATCTTTGTGAAACAACAAATAACGCGGATCCCTTTTTAATATAATATTCTAATAAACTTTTATAAAAAAAGCAAAGTTCGTTGAACAATTTATAAAAGATTAGATTTAAAAGCAGATAATAAGTTGCCAAAATATAACTAATTGAATAAACAGGAAACTATAAGTGGTGCAATTGGTGCAATAACAGAAAAAATATCTTTCACTACACCTAAAATCTCATTTTTCTTTCGAGCATTATTATTGAGTTGATTTTGCAAACCATTCATTTTCAACTGGTTTTCTTCCTTAACATTATTAAGCAATTGTTTATAATCTTCTATTTGTCTAAGCATTCGAGCATTCTCATTATTTAGCTGTTCGAGTGCTTGTTCCCTCTGTTCCTGTTTGAGAATGCATTCTTCTATAGTCTTTACTTTTTCTTCAAGTTGTTTCTGAATTTTTTCATTTTCCGCCCTAACACTATTTATTTCTGCTAGTAACTTTCCTTCTACTTGTAAAATTTCATAACATTGCCGTTCATTTTGTTGATGTGTTAACATTTCATTTGCATGTTCATTATGCAAGGCATCATAGATATTCAAAAGCCTAATGGCATCTTCGTATTGGTTTGCTTTAAATTCGTTTAGCACCTAAAATATAATAATATTTATATTACAACTTAGTTCTATAGCAACGTTAATAGCAATTAAAATAAATATATATACTTGTATAGCTTCTTGCCCTGGTATTGCTATAGATCCATAAGTTTGTTCAAACAATTCAATTGCATCAGCAAATTTGTTCTTATCCTACGTAAACAGAATTAGATCAAATCATAAATTTCAAATAAAAAAAAAATTTATTAATTACAAAAAGATTTTCTATTTCCAATCCATATGCAACATTCTCTTTCCAGAGTTTATGAGCCCATTCATTATGATATTTGATTAAAGCAGCAGAGTTTTCTGTGAAAAATTGATCTTTTGAAGCGGTAATCTTATTACAAAATTCTTTTTGAAAAGACTGAATTTGATTAGCGCTTCCAATGATTTGTTGAATGAATTTTTGATGCGCAAATTCAAATGCGACACTATGAACGTCTTCAAACTTATCCCAAGGAGTTGGAAATTTCATTTGGTTCATCATTTCATTATAATGTTCAATACAAGTCTTATCCGCCTTTCGAGCAGCATAATTAATAGAAGCTTCATATGCACTTGGAATCGATAACATAGTGTTTGCTGGATTATTTAATTGATCAACACATTTTTCAAGAAATTCAGCAAAAGCTACTCCTGTCATTGTTGAAGCGCCAAGATATTTTGGAGGTAAGTCTTTAAAAATATTTGTTACGGCTTCTTTAATCTTTGTAACAAACATGCGATCTAATTGATCTGTCCTAATCGCGTTCATGTTTCTCATTGCTTCTTGTCCAATTCCTGGGGGCTATTTTAAGGTTAATTAGTGAAGCTTGAAAAAATAATTAAAATATGATTACACTTACTGGAATCTCATAAACTTGGAAATTTTTAAAAAACTTTTTAATCTCTTTCGCGGCTTGTTATGAAATAAAATATATTATTGGTTAAATCATTTATAATACAGCACTTAATAAATGTATAAATTACCATCATCATTAACCTTTGATATTCTGTCAAGAAAATACTCTACAAAGTCAGGCGGACTATCTAGTTGGAAATCTCGAAGGAGAACGACGAGGTTTGGTAAAAATTGGTGTTCATTTGGAGGTTGGATTTTAGATACGACATTAGTCACTAAGAATAACTTTTCAATATCATCCCTTCCAATAACTCCATTAATATTATATATAAGCGTTGAAGAGATGGCCAGACATAAAATAAAAAGGTTATTTGCCCATGGAGCTTCCTGATTAGGATCATTAATACCCTCACAATCAATAACAACAACACCTAAATTTATATACAGCATATGTATAATTAATTGTTGCTAATGTTAATACGTAGGCTATTTGTCACATTGAACCTCAAATGGATTTTGTTGTACATATACATGGCGGTACAATATGACAAATAACAGGCTTCAACGTATTTACAATAAACTTACGTTTGCCCTCATGACTGAATGGGGTATCCCAAATATCGATGCCTTTGGTGCATCCATCCACAGATGAACCAAGTTTAAACCCATCATGACGTCCGAGAAGAGTGTTTGCGAAATATGATTTTCCTCTTCTATAAGAGCCAACTTGCAAATTGGTGTTTAAATTATCATTATGTTATAATACAATAAAATCACTCAAATTCTATAACCTACCAACAGTTATAACGGCAATAGGCTCTTCAACTTCTTTTAAAATTCTCAGTGCTTGCTCATCTAACAAAATTAGTCCTTCATCATCTAACCTCATATAACTCAAGAGGTGTGCAGGTTTTCCCGGGCGAGATGGAATTGTTTCTTCAGAAAATGGATTTGATGACATTGTTATTTTAAATTATGAAAAGAAACGTTTAATTTAATTCATAATACCTTTTTTAGACTTAACTTTATAGTTCTTGTGATTATTGTTTAAGTGCTACAGTGCTGCAGTGTTTTGGCATTATATTATTTCCGAATATGGTATTTTATATGGTAGTTTAACGTTTATTCTATTGGCGTTTTAATTATTTTTGAAGAGTCAGCATTTATACATCTTGCATAAAACTTACTTTAAAAAGCCTATCAAAAGGAAACTGCGCCAATTTTTTCAAAACTCCGAATTTCTGCATAATTTTTTTTTGAGACCCGTGAGTCCTGTGATTGCAATAAGAGTATCGTCTCAACTTCGTTATATTTTGTGAGATTCATTTAGAATTCTTATATTTCTCTTTTATTATTAATAAATAAATTTAAAAAAAATATGACGAACATAAAGTAGTTATCTATCTTGTATTCACGAACTCACCGGACTCAAAAACCTTTACGCAGATCGTCGATCGAAAAGAGCGATAACGATCTGCATAATGTTTTTTTGAGTTCCGTGAGTCCGTGAATACATGATAAATAACTACTTTATGTCCGTCGTATTTTTTGAAATTTATTTATCAAAAAAGGGAATTAAGAATTCTAAAATGAGTTCCGCCAAATATAACGAAGATGAAGTGATACCCTCATCGTAATCACAGGACTCACGGGATTCAAAAAAAATTATGCAGATCGTCCACAACTTAGAGTAGCGATCCGGATGACTATATCCGAATTTAACGCAGATATATTTAAACTCCGTTATCCTTTTTTACAGATACCCTATATCCGATATTTAACATTTAACGATAATGTAAAAAATAATATTATTTATATAAACTTATATTAACGCTAATGCTAAATAATAACATTATTCAGGATCGGTATTTTGGTATTGATCGATATTCCTTTTTAAAAATATCCTTCTTTTAAAAAGTTCTTTACCATTTAATCCTTTGATTTTACATATTGAATAGTTTGTCCATTCGCCATTTTTTACTAAGTTCTTGTTCCACACCCAACTGATCTTTCCCGTTAAGTCCAAATGACCAATTTTTTCTTCAGAAGATTGTTAATTTCATTAGAGTTGGAAATGTTAGAATCAGATACATAGTCACTGATTAACATTAAAACAGATAACCCGATATCTGACGAATAATCCAAGTCCATCCAATATAATCATTTTTCGGATAATTTATTTATAAATCCACATAGAATCAGAAATTTAAAGCTACAGATCACTACCCTACCACAACTATTTCTTTTCTGTATTTAATGCATGAAATTCTACAAATATGTTGAATTCTAAAAAGTTTCGAATTTAAACAGACATCTTCTGTTTTGAGAGGTGTATAAATACTGGCTTTTCGAGCATTAAAACACTATGACACTAGAACGCTAAAAATATCAGGAACGGAGTGCTATAATGTATAACAAGTTATGGTTTATGACATTTTTTTGTTGCTGATAAAGTTCCGGTGTCCAGAATTTTTTTTTTTGGCTAATCGATATTTAAATTTTGTTGACTGAAGTTAACTGCGAGAGGCTGACGTGGCAACTCATCGCCTCCCAAAGGATCACATCTAGGGTTGTTAAAACTTAACTGACAATTTAATTTACATAGTAAGTTACATGTACGTTACAGTAACTTACATGTAACTTGCAAGTAATTACTTGTAAGTTATAGTAAACCTACATGTAAGTTAACAACCCTAATCACATCTTATAAAGTTCTAAAAATGTATAAAAAGTTCAAGTGGTCTATTAATAAAGTGAATGTGTGTGTAAGAGCCTCCAATATATGGGATTGGGTCAATAGAAACCAGCAAATATTTTTTTCAAAACTTTAAGCAAGAATAACTTGATCAAATTATTTTTACATGTTTGTTCCTCACAATTATTTAAAAAATTTTCGAGGAAATTTATGAACTATTCCCATAGTTTTGTTAAATGCCATCCCTCTGATTTGTTAATTTAAATTCATAGAAATTATATTTTTTAACTAAAAGTATCTTGATACTATTTAAACAAATGCAATAAACCTTTTTATTTTAATGCTGAAGATCTCTAGAATTAAAATAATATATAGTTATTGAATGCGAAGCAGCCAATAACGAGAATTATTTGTAAAATAATTCATTAGGAGTTATTGGCTAGCGTAGCATACAATAACGGAATCCGGTATCTTACGACGATTGTGCTTCTAAATGACTCGAGTTTTGGCAGTGATCACATAAACTGCCAAATAACGAAGTTATTTGGCAGATGACGTATCACTGCCAAGTTCATTATTTTGTTTTATTAAAATACAATATTGTAAGCATTTTTAATAATTCAATATTAAATTTTACCGATTGTTTTGAAGAATGTTATTATAAAACACAAGTTTGTAAATTAATTGTTGCAATCCTGACCAAATATAAAAACGATTAGGAATCAAATCACACTAAGTCACATAAATTTGTATCTTTAAATCACGGCATCAATATCCAATACAAGCTAGTTATGTACTATATATCTTAGAAGTTAAATAAGTTTGTATAAAATTTTATAAAAATAAAATACGTATAATAGGATGAGAAATCTATTTTTTGAATCTACTATACAGCCTGCACAGGCCCACATATGGTAGTTTAGTCATCATTCCTACATAGCACAAACTATAATATAATATGGAAGTTTTTAGAAAATTTTAGTTAAATTTGATAATTTTAGATATAAATTTTCTAGAATATAAAAATTTTAGAAAATTTGAGTTGATACTTGAAATTTTAAATGGTTTGAAAAAACTTTATATCTAAAACTTTATGGGTTCCAGCTTATCTATGACCCAGTTTTTTTAGGTCGGGCCAGGTTTTTTTAAAAAAACCGACCCAAACCATCCTATGAGGAACACTAACAAAATGGACTAAAGGTTCTAAAGGTTCTAAGGGGCACAAAGGTCGTAAAGATTATAAATGCTTTTAACAGCATTTATAGCCTAAGCGCTATTTGAGACCAAAGTGTTATTAATGACATTAAGGTCACTACTGACATAAGCGACAGAAAAGGCATAAATTCCTGACGGGGACTATAATTAAGGTAACGTCTATTTTTGGATACTATCAATGTTGAGTTTTAACACAAATGTATATAAATAATACTGATAAAAATAATATAAAACAAGATAATATATAAAAACAAGGTGTCAGGAACTCTCGTCGGTCAGATGACTTTATTAAAAATAAGCTGAAGAACATATGGGATCTTTGCTAGGAAAATCACCCTTCGAGATTTTCCGATCGGGCAAATTCGGACAAACTTAGACCAGA